GTTACTTATATGGATTAATTTTTTTACATTTAAACTTCTAATTTATTTGGAATTTGAATGGCATCAGGAGATGGATGCAGTTTTATCTTTTTCTATATTGTTATTTCAGTATTGCTTATTAGTCCACCTTTTTTCCCACTGATGTTAGATGCTGCTTTAGTGAATATAAATGTAACATAACTGAACTGAATATAAATGAGTATAGTGTGATCAATTTAGTCTATTTCTGAATTTTGTTTGTGTTTCACTGTTCTATCTATTCATGCACCATACTGTTTTAATTATAGAAATGATAATGTTCTACTATCTTGTAAAGTTTCTGGTCTCTCTGGTCTTCCTTCATTAATGATTTTTCTTGATTGTCAAGGCTAGCTTTTCTATTTTCTTCTTCCAAATGAACTTTATAATCAACTATATTAGTTGCATGAAAAAAAAGTGATGACAAAAATGTTTTAAATTTATATTTATGTAAAGACATATTAAAGAGGTATCCCATTACAGTATACTAACACATATATATGGAATTTAGAAAGATGGTAACGATAACCCTATATGCAAAAAAAGAAAAAGAGACTCAGATGTATAGAACAGACTTGTGGACTCTATGGGAGAACCCGGGGGTGGGATGTTTCAAGAGAACAGCATCGAAACATGTATATCTAGGGTGAAACAGATCACCAGCCCAGGTTGGATGCATGAGACAAGTGCTCAGGCCTGGTGCACTGGGAAGACCCAGAGGGATGCGGGGGAGAGGGAGGTGGGAGGGGGGACCGGGATGGGGAATACATGTAAATCCATGGCTAATTCAATGTATGGCAAAAACCACTGCAACGCTGTAGAGTGGTTGGCCTCCAACTAGTAAAAATAAATGAAAAAAAAAAATAAAGAGGTATCTAATGTAAATTTTATAAACTGCCTTAAATATGAATCAGTGTTGAATTTGGCCAAATGACTCTTCTGCACCTAGTTAGTTTTCTTCTTAATCTATAACTAGAATGGGTTGTAAGAATCAATTTCTTCATGTTGGGCCACCCTCGTATTTCTGAAATGATCATACTATCATGGTGCATTACTTTTTAGTGTCTAATAATGGCCTCTTCTTCCACCATCAAGATCATGGAATGGCTAAGAATTCAGGGGTTATCAAGGCAAATATGGGTTTTGGAGGTATGGGACTAAGAAACCTTTCTAGGCAAATAAGGAAGAGAATTGTGTCTTTTCTGAGAGTAATAGAAAAATGTAGGAGAAAAACACAATTCCTTGTTTCTTATTTTCTTACTGTCGGAGACAAGTGGTAAATAAAGCTGATATCTACAACTGTCTGTAACCATCCATCGCTCTGATGACTGCTGAGACTCAGGAACACTGGGAGGAGAAGGCCTGGACTAGAAGTGGTCTCTCACCCCAAGACCCCTGAAGCCAAGGGCACCAAGAACCATCCCCTTCATGTAGCCTCCCTTTTACGACCACTGTTCTCTTCACCACTGTTGGAGGTTGATAACTATAGCCACCAATCTCTGAGAAGCAGCGTGGGTAAGCAGACCAGGGTTCACAATTCCTGCCAGTGGAAGTGTGGGTATATGTTCTCGTTGTTGTTGTTGTCATTGCTGTTCAGTCACTCAGTCGTATCCAACTCTTTGTGACCCCATGGACTGCATCACAACAGGCTTCCCTGTCCTTCACCATCTCCAAGAGTTTGCTCAAACTCATGTCTATTGAGTCGATGACTCCATCAAACTATCCTATCCTCTGTCATCCTCTCTCCTGCCTTCAGTCTTTCCCAATATCAGGGTCTTTTCCAATGAGTCACTGCTTCAAGTCAGGTGGCCAAAATATTGGAGTGTCTGCACCAGCATCAGTCCTTCCAATGAATATTCAGGATTGATTTCCTTGAGGATTGCTTGGTTGGATCTCCTTGCTGTCCAAGGGACTCTCGAGAGTCTTCTCCAGCTCCACAGTTCAAATGCATCAATTCTTCAGCACTCAGCCTTCTTTGTAGTCCAACTCTCACATCCATACATGATTATTGGAAAAACCATAGCTTTGAGGGAACTTTGTCCTCAAAGTAAAGTCTCTGCTTTTTAATACACTGTCTAGGTTTCTCATAGCTTTTCCTCCCAGGAGCAAGTTTTTCTTCCAAGGAGAGGACTCTGGATGGAGACAAATCTGTTGCCTGCTGTGGTGCCCTCAGCCACTGCAGTCATCCCCATGGAGCACCCCGAGGGCACTCAATGTGAAAGCACCAGATACTGGCCCCAGATAGCTCGGTGTACATCTAAGGAATCATTTCAAAGAGCCCAGTTCTTGCACCTTTCCTACATAGAAAACTACTAAATTCACTAACTGGAGATAACTGATTTTCTGTAACTTACCATAGTCTTTTGATGTTTCCGACCACCTGGTGTTTGTTGCAAAATCCTATACATAGTGACTCTTCCCTTGTCTCTTGGGAGTGGACTCTCAGAGCTATCCAAGAGGCTGCCTCCTGGGCCAAATTCTCAAATAAAATTAATTCTCAGCTTTTCAGTTATACATTTTTTTTTCAGTCGATTTCTTGTTTAAACTGTTGAACAAGACAGATTCTCCTGAGAACTTGACCGCTAAACTCTCCTGAGAAAGCCACAACTCTCTCATCACTGAGACTTCCATGGCCCATCCTGGCCAGAGGTGTAGGTAGGGCATGAGGAAGGACACAATCTACTAGCCAAGCACCGTCAGACCCTGTAAAGCAGGAGGGGAATGTGTGGGTCAGTAACAGGAACAAGACACAGGCAGAGCAAAGAGAAAGGCGATAGAATAGATCCCTAGAGCTGCTCCAACAGACTACTACAAACTACGGAGCTTGAAAGCAAGACATTTATTGCCTCATAGTCCTAGTTCAAACTCAAGATGGTGACAGAACCATGCTCTCTGAAGGCTCTCAGATCCTTCCTGGCCTCTTCCGAGCTTCTGGGGTTGCTGGCATCCTCCACTTCTAGATGCATCACTGCAACGTCTTTCCTCTTGCATTTCACTATAAGCATAAGGAGGAACCAGGCTGCACCTTCCACACTTTGCTTAGAAATCGCTTCAGCTAAATGGTCAGGTTCATCACTTACAAGTTCTACTTGCCACCCAACAGAACAGGGAGTATCCCCAGGATACAGCAAGCTTCTTCCCTGAAGCGCCCTGTGGTCTCTCACAGCTCCCAGGAGAGATGATCAGACACTGTGTCTGGATTTCTGGGCAAGATTTAGGTCATTTACTATAACCCCAAACAAGAAGTATGATTTTGGAAATTTTGATGTGACTGCATGCACATGGAGAAAAAACTTCCAACCTGGCAAAACTAAACCATATTTATGGGCAATATTTCTGTCTCTTTAAAAAAAAAAAAAAAAAAGGTGTTTTCACTAGCCCCACCCAATTTGCTTCCTGGCTCCGAGGTTTCAGAGATGCAGCAGTTAAAGCAAAAACAGAGGCTCAAACAGATCTCTGGAAGAAACCGGACAGCTCATCAAATCCTTCAAAAGCAGGTGAGCCTGGCTGAGAAGAGGCTCCAGAGCGACAGAGCTGTAGGGGCAGTAGGTTACCTGGACTTGGAGAGGGCGTGGCTTCTGGCCTGAGAAGGGACCACACGTGCTGTGCAAGGAACTCCACCAAGAGGATGCTGCCAGAGCGGGAGTGGGGGAGGGTAGGGAGGGGAGTAAGGATTTTGTTAACATAATATCCATGCATCTCAGTTTAACATGACAATCTTTTCCTGAATACTACACCTTCCACCCAGCTGTTGTTGGGATAGACATTGAATACACTTGATAACCCAGACATTTCTCTTAAGAAGAAATGCGTTCCCAGGGCAGGTCTTTAGAGATGTAGGGCAAATAGGGGCTATCTAGTCCTAATCTCTCTTTTTTAAAATTTAGTTTCTATTTTATATTGCAGTATAGTTGATTGTAAATCAACTAATTTTTTGGTGGTAAATGGTATTTGAAGACTGAAATCTGGCATTAAGGGTGCTCATTGCTACTGGGCTGCTCATTTTTATGCCCTTTCAATGAAGTTCAAAACTATACAAACACACACAATCAAGAATAGGATTCCTGAAAATAATTTTTTGCAGGTTTTTCTGGAGGGAGGTAGTGGGGGAAGTTAAATATATCCCACTGGGGATGGACAAAGAAATGACTGCATTGTCAAGTCTCTTGGAACAGTCTTTTGTATAGTTCATTCACAACACAAAATACAATTAGGCTCGTTTGCTTCTTTTGATTTTTACTAGTACTCTGAAATACAACTTTTGCTGTATAGTTGTGTAAACTATTTATATGGTTTTAAGATCGGTTCAGCTGGTAAAGAATCTGCCTGCATTATGGGAGACCTGGGTTTGATACCTGGGTTGGGAAGATCCCCTGGGGGAGGGAGAGGCTACCCACTCCAGGATTCTGGCCTGGAGAATTCCATGGAGGTAGTCCATTCGGGTCTCAAAGAGTCGGACATGACTGAGTGACTTTCACCTTTTCTCTTCAAGATCAAATCTATGAAATGTAAGTATATCCCAACAAGTCTAGCTCCCAGCATCTATCCCTGTCCCTGCCTTCCTCTTTTTCCCGTCCCCATATAAGTAACTTATTGTTTGTTTAGTTTTCAGATTATTCTGCCAATTGCTTTTACAGATGAATGAAAAACACATATACTACATTTTATATATGTAGGCCATATTCCTCCTTGTTAGAGAAATGCTAGTAAACTGTACATTATTTTCCTCACTTTGCTTTTTTTTCTTAATGATATATTCTGGAGATGTCTCCACACTGGGATATAGAGATATACCTCATTCTTTTTTACAATTGACTAGTACTTCACTGTGTGACTATACTTTAGTTAATTCCATCAGGTCCCTAATGATGGGCATTTGATAAGTTTTTGGTCTTTTGAGGTTTCAAACAGTGGTGCAGTTAACAGCCTTCTGCATAATTTTCTTCTGGTTTTTTTTTTTTTTTTTTGGTCAGTATACCTTTGGGAAAAGTCCTAAAATTGTGATTGATAATCAAAGGGTAAATGCATATGTACTGTTGCAAGTTCTTGCTAACTTCTCCTCTGGTTCTTTTAGACTGTTTTTCTCTTCCCAATGTCACGCAGGAGAGGACCTGTTTTCCCTAAACCTTTTATTTTTAAACAGTTATCTATCTATTTGCCTGCATTGGGTCTTAGTTGTAGCATGCAGGATATTTGTTGCCTCATGTGGGATCTTTCCCTGGGACACAGGGACTCTCTGGTTGTGGTGGGATTAGTTGCTCCATGGCATGTGGGATCTCAGTTCCCCAACCAGGGGTAGAAGCTGCATCCCCCTCATTGCTAGGTGGATTCGTAACCACTGGGCCACCAGGGAGCCCCTCCCTTATACCGTTTACCAATAGATTGTATCATCAGACTTTCAAGTTCTTGCCAAAAAAAACTGACCTTTTCCAGTCCTGTGGCCACTGCTGAGTTTTCCAAATTTGCTGGCATATTGAGTGCAGCACTTTAACAGCATCATCTTTCAGGATTTGAAATCGCTCAACTGGAATTCCATCACCTCCAGTAGCTTTGTTTGTAGTGATGCTTCCTAAGGCCCACTTGACTTCACAGTCCAGGATATCTGGCTCTAGGTGAGTGATCACGCCATCGTGATTATCTGGGTCGTGAAGATCTTTTTTGTACAGTTCTTCCGTAGTCCATGGAATTCTCCAGGCCAGAACACTGGAGTGGGTAACCTTTCCCTTCTCCAGGGGATGTTCCTAACCCAGGGATCGAACCCAGGTCTTTCACATTGCAGGCAGATTCTTTACCTGATGAGCCACAAGGAATATATAGTGGTATGTATCCATAAATCCTATACTCCTAATTTATCCCTTTTCCCAGTACTCTTGCCTGGAGAATCCCATGGATGGAGGAGCCTGGTAGGCTGCAGTCCATGAGGTCACTGAGAGTCGGATATGACTGAGCATTTTCATGGGGTCACTGAGAGTCGGATACGACTGAGCATCTTCACTTTCACTTTTCACTTTCATGCATTGGAGAAGGACATGGCAACCCACTCCAGTGTTTTTGCCTGAAGAATCCCAGGGACAGGGGAGCCTTGTGGGCTGCCATCTACAGGGTCGCACAGAGTCGGACACGACTGAAGGGGCTTAGCAGCAGCAGCAGCAGCTGACTTTCTTATTTGGTAATAATAAGTTTGTTTTCTGTGTCAGTGAGTCTGTTTCTGTTTTGTAAATAAGGTCATTTACTTTTTTAGATTCCACATATTAATTGTACCATATATTATTTTTTTCCTGTCTGACTTACTTCACTAAATGTGAAAGCATCTCATTTCATCTGTGTTGCTGCAAATGGCAATATTTCATTCTCTTTTATGGTTGAGCAATATCCCATTGTGTGTACAAACCTTTTTTTCTGTCTGACTTACTTCACTCAATATGAAAGCATCTCATTTCATCTGTGTTGCTGCAAATGGCAATATTTCATTCTCTTTTACTGCTGAGTAATATCCCATTGTATACAAACCACAGTCCTTCACACATTCATCTGTAGATGGACAATTATGTTGTTTCCCCATCTGGGCTATTGCAAATAGTGCTACTGTGAACATAGGGCTGCATGTATCTTTTCAAATTAGAGTTTTATCTGGATAATATGCCCAGGAATTGGATTGCTAGATCATATGGCAACTCTACGTCTAGTTTCTTGAGGATCTTTCATACTGTTCTTCATAGAGGCTATACCAACTTATGTTTCCACCAACAGTGGAGGAGGGTTCCCTTTTCTCCACACTCTCTCCAGCATTGATTATTTGTAACTTTTTGATGATGGCAATTCTGACTGCTGTGAGGTGATACATCAATGTAGTTTTGATTGCATTTCTTGAGTAGTTAGTGATGCTGAGCATCTTTTCATGTGCTTATCAACCATCTGTATAGATGTTATTTGTATAAAAGGTAAATTTCCCCTCTTTTATATAAGCAGGAATAATTTTTCCCCTAGTTTGACATTTGTGTTTTGTGTATGGTGGGTTTTATCCTCACAATATCTGTTTGTAATAACTGTTTATGTAATCAAATTTAACAGTTTCTTTACTTACTCTATTTCAAATCTTATAAATATTTTACCTATAACCAGGCTACAAAGATTTACCCATGTTTCTTCTATTATTTATATGGATTAACTTTTTTATATATAAATTTCTAATCTATTTGGAATTTGGAAGGCATGAAGAAAATGGATGCAGTTTTATTTTTTCTATATGGTTATCTCAATATTGCTTATTAGACCATCTTTCTTCACATTGTTGTGAGATGCTACCTTACTGAATATAAATATAGCATAATGTAAATGATTTGAATATAAATGATTATAGTGTGATCAATTTGGCCTATATTTGAATTTTCTGTTTTTGTTTCACTGTTCTATCCATGCACCAACATCATACTGCTTTAACTATAGAAACTGTTGTATTTTAGTATCTGGTAAAGCTAATCTTATCTCTTTATTTTTTTGCTTCATTGCCCAGGCTTTTTTTTTTTCCTTCATCCAAATAAATTTCATAATCAACTGCTTTAGTTGCCAGGTTTCCCAGGTGTGAAAAGTGAAAGTCACTCAATCATGTCCAACTCTCTGCAAACCCATGGACTATAGAGTCCATGGAATTCTGCAGGCCAGAATACTGGAGTGAGTAGCCTTTCCCTTCTCCAGGGGATCTTCCCAATCCAGGGACTGAACCGGGGTCCCCTGCATTGCAGGCAGATTCTTTACCAGCTGAGCTATTAGGTCCCAGGTGGTTCACCAACTGAGCTAACAGCCCAGGTGGCTCAGTGGCAAAGAATCTGCCTGCCAATGCAGGAGACTTGGCTTGGATCCCTGGGTCAGGAAGATACTCTGGAGAAGGAAATGGCAACCGACTCTAGTATTCTTACTTGGGAAATGCCATGGACAGAGGAGCCAGGCAGGCTACAGTAAATGGGGTCACAAAAGAGTTGGACACAATTAAGTGGCTGAACAACAAATGATTTTAGTTGCATGAAAAAATAAGTGATCAAAAATTTTAAATTTATATATATATATATAATCATGTTAAAGAAGAATCAATTAATTTAAATTTGATGAACTGCTTTAAACATGAATCAGATTGAATTTGGCCAAATGACTCTTCTGACCCTAGTTACTTTTCTTCTTAACCTCTTAATGGAATGTATTGTAACAATCAAAATCTTCATGTTGAATCATCCTAGTATTTCTGAAACAATCATACTTACACATGTGATACTGCTTTTCACATCTAATAATTTATTTAGGACTTTTGTATCAATATTTATACATGAGACATATCTATAGCTTTATTTACTGTGAAATTTTTGTTAGCTTTTGGAATCAACATTAAATTGCTTCATAGAAAAAACTGAACATTTCCTTCATTGCTATGTGATTAGGAATTGTTTAAGTAGCACTGAGATTATTAGGTCTTTAAAGGTTTCATGAGTCCCCTGGGAAACCATCAGGACATGACACTTTTGTGGGGAAACTCTAACTACTTGGTTATTTCTTAAATAACAATTGAACTGTTTAAATTTTCTGTCTCTACCGGGGTCAATATGCATAACAGAATATTAGAAACTTTCAGGGAGGAAAAGAAGGGGGTGGGGGAGAGAGTGGGGATGGTTCCTGCTTACCTAAATTGACCCTTTCCCTCTTTCCCTTCTTTTCTTAAGGTGGTGTGGTGCCTGCGCGCTAGAGTCTCTTGATATAAACATGGCTGCCACGCCAAATAACACTCCGAGGATCGTGCTGGTCGGGAAGACGGGAAGTGGGAAAAGTGCAACTGCAAACGCCATTCTCGGGGAAAAAGTATTCGAGTCTAGGATTGCTGCCCACGCTGTTACCCAAACTTGTCAGAAAGCATCCCGGGAATGGAAGGGGAAAGAGCTTCTCGTTGTTGACACCCCAGGGCTCTTTGACACCAAGGAGACCCAGGACAAAACCTGCAAGGAAATCAGCCAATGTGTCCTCGCCTCCTGTCCTGGGCCTCACGCCATCGTCTTGGTCCTGAGGCTGGGCCGCTACACAGAGGAAGAGCAGAAAACCGTGGCGTTGGTCAAGACTCTGTTTGGGAAAGCAGCCATGAACTATATGATCATCTTATTCACTCGCAGAGATGAACTGGGGAACCAGAGCCTGAGCGACTTTTTGAAGCATGCAGATGTAAACCTACGAAGCCTCCTCCAGGAGTGTGGAGACCGCCGCTATGCCATCAGTAACAGAAACACAGAGCAGGCTGAGAAGGAAGCTCAGGTGCAGGAGCTGCTGGAGCTGATAGACAAGATGGTGCAGAACAACCAAGGGGCTTACTTTTCTGACCCCATTTACAAGGACATAGACCAAAAGCTGAGACAGCAGGAGGAATGCTTGAAGAAAGCCTATGAGGATGAATTACAAAACCAAATGAAACTAATAGAAAAGGAATATGCCAATGAACCACAAGAAGAAAAGGATAAACAAATAAAGTTGCTACTGCAGAAGCATGAAGAACGAAAGAAAAATATAAAGGAAGAAGCTGAGATGAAAATATTTCAGAGTTTATTCAACATGATTAAAAATATGCTTTCAAGAATATGGCACATGTTCTGGTAGTATAAAGTTTATTTTTACTCCTCAGTTTACTATAACTTGTTAATGTGGTAGTGTTTATTTTCCAAAGATGGTTAAAACCCTATCTTCTGACTTCTTATAATCTGATTCCTCTTATGATCTCTCTTCCTTGAGCTAAGGGCCTATGTCCTTAACCTGGAAATTAGAGGGACTTTGTGACTGCTTTGAGAAATAGTGGGTGGTTGAAGTAACACCATACGACTTCTAAGATTAAATAGGGAAAATGCCTCCTTGCTCTTCCACATTGGTTACCCTTGGAATTTGCCCACCCTGTTGTGAGGAAGCCTGAGTAGAAGCCCAAGTCGCCTGCATGAAGAGAACCTGAAGTCACTGATCCACTCCCCTGGCTGAGATTTCATCTGCCATCCAGAATCAGCTTGCCAGCCTTGCAAGTGAGGCAAGACAGAGTGGATTCTCCAGCTGCCAACTGATGAAACTGCAAAGAGCAAAGAAGAGCCATCCCCATGGGGTCCTGCCTAAATTGGAGATTCCTGAGAAAAGTAAATGGTTGCTGTTGTTATAAACACTATGTTTTGGGATGATTTGTTATGCAGTGAGGGCTGCATGAAAGCAGGCTAAGTTGTTTCAGTCCTGTCCAACTCTTTGCGACCCTGAGGACTGTAGCCCACCAGCCTCCTCTGTCCATGGGATTCTCCAGGCAAGAATATTGGAGTGGGTTGCCATGCCATTCTCCAGGGGATCTTCCTGGCCCAGGGATCAAACCCACATCACTTACATCTCAAACATTGGTAGGGGGCTTCTTTACCACTAGCATCACCTGGGAAACCCATGCAGTGAGAGTTAACTAGATTTAATATCTTCCCAGCTCATTCCCCAGCACTCCTGACTCCTACCTCTCCTTCCACACAATGCCAACAAATTTAAGAGTTTATGAAATTGACATAACCAGGTAATGATCCATTTTGTAGAATTCAAAGATTCAATCTGGGAAAATTCAAATAAGAAACCTTGCCTATGTTAAGTGTAGGCCCCACTGATGTAATAAGTGGTGTATTACTTGAATGCACACCTAGGAGAACTTTGTTTATGAAGCATGGGCTTCTCAGTACCATTATTCTATGGTTCATGGAGATGTGGAAGTTGACAAATTCTCTTGTTTTTTTCTCTACACTTTTTGCCATTAAATGTACCTCTTTTATTGCTATCAATGCCATTTAAGTGCAGTACAGATTAACATGCCTGTTCTTCTATACAAAAATATTTTATATGTCATTTTATTTAAATTAATTCTGATAACAATTCTATAGAAAAGATGACAGTGAGTCTCAGGAATATAAGTAATGTGACTAGAGCCATCTGAATTCTTGCCTAGTGATCAACAGAGCTGAATTTTAACTCATATCTGCTTGCTTTTAAACTTAAAGCTCTTTCAAAGGCACCAGTCTGATCTTTTTATACATCTTAATTTTTTTAATTGGAAGAAATTGCTTTCCAGTATTAAGACCCAGGACAAAACCTGCAAGGAAATCAGCCAATGTGTCCTCGCCTCCTGTCCTGGGCCTCACGCCATCGTCTTGGTCCTGAGGCTGGGCCGCTACACAGAGGAAGAGCAGAAAACCGTGGCGTTGGTCAAGACTCTGTTTGGGAAAGCAGCCATGAACTATATGATCATCTTATTCACTCGCAGAGATGAACTGGGGAACCAGAGCCTGAGCGACTTTTTGAAGCATGCAGATGTAAACCTACGAAGCCTCCTCCAGGAGTGTGGAGACCGCCGCTATGCCATCAGTAACAGAAACACAGAGCAGGCTGAGAAGGAAGCTCAGGTGCAGGAGCTGCTGGAGCTGATAGACAAGATGGTGCAGAACAACCAAGGGGCTTACTTTTCTGACCCCATTTACAAGGACATAGACCAAAAGCTGAGACAGCAGGAGGAATGCTTGAAGAAAGTCTATGAGGATGAATTACAAAACCAAATGAAACTAATAGAAAAGGAATATGCCAATGAACCACAAGAAGAAAAGGATAAACAAATAAAGTTGCTACTGCAGAAGCATGAAGAACGAAAGAAAAATATAAAGGAAGAAGCTGAGATGAAAATATTTCAGAGTTTATTCAACATGATTAAAAATATGCTTTCAAGAATATGGCACATGTTCTGGTAGTATAAAATTTATTTTTACTCCTTAGTTTACTATAACTTGTTAATGTGGTAGTGTTTATTTTCCAAAGATGGTTAAAACCCTATCTTCTGACTTCTTATAATCTGATTCCTCTTATGATCTCTCTTCCTTGAGCTAAGGGCCTATGTCCTTAACCTGGAAATTAGAGGGACTTTGTGACTGCTTTGAGAAATAGTGGGTGGTTGAAGTAACACCATACGACTTCTAAGATTAAATAGGGAAAATGCCTCCTTGCTCTTTCACATTGGTTACCCTTGGAATTTGCCCACCCTGTTGTGAGGAAGCCTGAGTAGAAGCCCAAGTCGCCCGCATGAAGAGAACCTGAAGTCACTGATCCACTCCCCTGGCTGAGATTTCATCTGCCATCCAGAATCAGCTTGCCAGCCTTGCAAGTGAGGCAAGACAGAGTGGATTCTCCAGCTGCCAACTGATGAAACTGCAAAGAGCAAAGAAGAGCCATCCCCATGGGGTCCTGCCTAAATTGGAGATTCCTGAGAAAAATAAATGGTTGCTGTTCTTTTAAACCACTATGTTTTGGGATGATTTGTTATGCAGTGAGGGCTGCATGAAAGCAGGCTAAGTTGTTTCAGTCCTGTCCAACTCTTTGCGACCCTGAGGACTGTAGCCCACCAGCCTCCTCTGTCCATGGGATTCTCCAGGCAAGAATATTGGAGTGGGTTGCCATGCCACCCTCCAGGGGATCTTCCTGGCCCAGGGATCAAACCCACATCACTTACATCTCAAACATTGGTAGGGGGCTTCTTTACCACTAGCATCACCTGGGAAACCCATGCAGTGAGAGTTAACTAGATTTAATATCTTCCCAGCTCATTCCCCAGCACTCCTGACTCCTACCTCTCCTTCCACACAATGCCAACAAATTTAAGAGTTTATGAAATTGACATAACCAGGTAATGATCCATTTTGTAGAATTCAAAGATTCAATCTGGGAAAATTCAAATAAGAAACCTTGCCTATGTTAAGTGTAGGCCCCACTGATGTAATAAGTGGTGTATTACTTGAATGCACACCTAGGAGAACTTTGTTTATGAAGCATGGGCTTCTCAGTACCATTATTCTATGGTTCATGGAGATGTGGAAGTTGACAAATTCTCTTGTTTTTTTCTCTCCTCTTTTTGCCATTAAGTGTACCTCTTTTATTGCTATCAATGCCATTTAAGTGCAGTACAGATTAACATGCCTGTTCTTCTATACAAAAATATTTTATATGTCATTTTATTTAAATTAATTCTGATAACAATTCTATAGAAAAGATGACAGTGAGTCTCAGAAATATAAGTAATGTGACTAGAGCCATCTGAATTCTTGCCTAGTGATCAACAGAGCTGAATTTTAACTCATATCTGCTTGCTTTTAAACTTAAAGCTCTTTCAAAGGCACCAGTCTGATCTTTTTATACATCTTAATTTTTTTAATTGGAAGAAATTGCTTTCCAGTATTATGTTGGTTCCTGCCATATATCAACATGAATCAGTGGTAGGTACACATATGTCCCCTCCCTCTTGAACCCCCCTTCCACCCCTGTTGGTTGTCACAGAGCACACCCTAGGGATTTGAGATCTCTGCATCAAACAGCACATTTGCTAATGGAACATTAATGGACAGGAGCTCTCCCAAAGGCCTCCATATCAGCACTAAGACAAAGTCCCACCCAAAGACCCGAAACCTCCAGTCCTGGAAACTTCACGCTGAACCATTTGCAAAATAAAAACACAACCCTGACCATTAGCAGAAGGACTGCCCAAAGCCATATCAAGCCCATAGACACCCCAAAACACACTCCTAGACACAGCACCACCCTTCAGAGAGACAAAGTCCAGTTCCGTCCACCAGAGCAGAGGCACAAGTCCTCCCAACTAGGAAACAAGACACAGGCCCAACCCACCCGTGGGCTCTCGCCCTCTTTTAACATACTGTCCTAACTTCAAGTGCTCCTAACTGTAACACAAAAACCTCTTCTCTATCAAATAGTTTTCGTTTGCCTCTGCACATCCACACTTCACCCCTCTCTCCCCTTCAATCTAACTTGTTGCCTGGGAGGCTGATCTACATGGACTACATCAGTGGGATCTCTTGCTGTCCGCCCTCTGCTTGGTTTCTGCCAAAGGAAATCCAAGCAGGACATCTCTTGAAGGTAGAAAAGCAAGATCAGTATATCTGTTCTCCTGCCTCTCTCCCTGCAGGGTCATCTCTGAGTAGTTGCTACCCTAAGGTGAAGGTCATAGCACCTCTCCTTGAGATCTCTCCACCCAACTCTCCTTCTGGATTCCACCTTTTGTTCACCACTTAGGGTACTGATACAATTTCCTCAGTGTTACTGGACCTCTCCCTTGTCATTTCCAAACCTGTATCCATTGCTTATAGGAAGCCTCTTCACTAGACTCTCCTTCAAGTATTTCATTATAGTAGACCATCTTTTTTCTGCTAGAATCCTGATGGATACATCTTATGAAACTTACTTCGTTTTCTATTTGAAAGCATTCCCTGATTTTTATTCTTTTTGATTGTTTGTTTGTTTTTCAATCTCCTGACAGCAGAAAAGTCTCACATGACTGTTGAAGTCTCTAGAAAAATTTTACCGACATGGACTGTGACATTGGCAGTGAGCACATGAAAGGTCCTATCTTGCTAAAATCATTATAAAGCTTTAGTGATAGAGAGATGAGTTTATATTCAAATAAATACGGCAGATAACTCAAACACAAATATCTGGAATTTTTACATCTGTCCTTTATTTTGTCTCTGAAAGTGACAGGGTGTTTACTGCATCTGTGAAACTTAGGGACACAGGGACTGGAGACTAAATGTCAAGAAATTAACATCTCAAATACCTGCTCATTCTATGGTTCATAACAAATACTATGAATGGAGTAAGACAACGTGGAAGAAAAGTCTGTTGTGAGAAACATCCACAGTATATGTGAAATAACACTGCAGGCCCCACTGCTATTTGCTATAACACAGTTATATTTATAGTTAGTTCCTTGTGAGTAATTCATCAGTGCAACATTATCTCTAGAGAGCAAACAATCATGCACTGCCCAGACATATTTCCTTTGTGAACCATTTGGATGATATTTTCTCTCAGGGATTTGCAGAAGCATTATGAAGTCAGTTAGCTTGTGTGTTTCTAGGCTTGTGTTAGGACCTAATGAAGATGCAACTTAAAGGAGTTGATTTCTTTTCTCCCAAACCTATGTTCTATTTTTGAAGGTAAAACATATACTCAGAAGCAAAATGAGTAATTCAAGTGAATCATATAGACATCATCTTTTCCTTGATGCCTGAATTCTTGACCATTAGATTATCTTCACTTTCGTTATATCCCAGTTTTCTCTGAAGGTGGTTCTGAGTCCTGAGGTCTCAGGAAGTTCCAGCACTCAGCATGTGTACTATTCCTATGGTTGGAATATGCCACAGCCATGATCCATAGCTGGGGAAAGTAGGATTCATAGGAGAAGACTTGAGGAAGAATTCAGGGCTTGAGGTCTACTCTGAAGGATGTATAGGATGTGTGCATGTGGGTGATGGGATAATAAGCCCTTTCTTTGCAGAGAGAGGAAAGTTAGGGTCTGTAGGTGAGATCATCAGGGTAGACTCAGAAGTGACAACATTCAATTAGGTTTGTGACATGCTGAGTATTAGAGTCAAAGGGAGGGTCTGACATTGAAATTTTGAACTGAAGGTTATGTGAGTGGCCTAGGGTGAATGTGGCAGGATATCAACATAAATATTCATTTCGACTGACTCAGTACTGACAACTTCCCCACATTCCAGCCTTATGTACTAAAAGATTTGTGTAGAACTTGAAAGGAAGCAGGTGGTAACCAGTTCTGTGAGGTGTAGTTCTTCAAATAATTCAATAGGTAATTGAAGAGTTCAAGAGGAAAGTGAAAGTGAAAGTGGCTCAGTCATGTCCAACTCTTTGCGACCTCATGGATGTAGTCCGTGGAATTCTCCAGACTAGAATACTGGAGTGGGTAGACTTTACCTTCTCCAGGGGATCCTCCTGACCCAGGAATTGAACAAGGGTCTCCTTGCATAGCAAGCGGATTCTTTATCAATTGAACTACAAAGAAAGGGCTTTGTAAAAGAGGACACTTTGATTGGAAGGACAACAACCTTCAGGATTGGCAAATTTGGGGGGTTTATACCTAGAGTAGTGGCTCCCCTAGTCACTACGGTAATCTCGCTGTAACCATGGCATTTCATAAGGGAGGCTCCAAAGGGAATCCCTTGTGCTCTACCCAACAGGACGAGAGTTCTCTCTTACCTCACACCAATCAGGTGGCCCCCTGGGTCTCGGTGCTGCCTGAGGACATGAGTGCTGCATGGTAAGAGATTCCTGGGGGGACAAGACCAGTGTCCTCTGGAGTGAAACTTTAGAGCCAGATGCTCTTGGGGGAAACATAAAAGATATTGCNCACAACTTGACCTACTGAGAATGGACTTTCTTTTTGACAACGTCTAAACCTGGTGAATAGGGTCAATGATCAAATTTGAAAGCATGCTTCTGGATGAAAATAAAAAGGATCTACAAACCAGAGACAAGTTTTACACTGTGGCATTTAAGTTCAAAGATGACTCCACCAGAGGAGTTCCAGAAGTGTTGATTAATGAGCCCCCAACGTCAAAGGAGGCATGTTCCTGACACAGCAGTCAGTTGTAAAGTTATGTGTACATAATCCATGAACAACCAAAAGTTCATTCAATTGTAATTTGTTGAATACAGATGCAAAAATACTTAATTACTAAAAGGTATAGAACACAGAAGTCCTTGATGAATTCACATAACAAGTCTGGAATGGAGGCCAACAAAGCTTGTTCTTACTGTGTGCTTG